TCGTAGCTTGGTGCGCAGAATGGCAAAACTTACTAATGATGCAGAATTCGATGCCGGCGAAACTTTTGAGAATGTACCAAGTCCACTGTCTGGTGCTGAGAATCCCGACAATTACTATGGCAAACGACTTCGGACTAGGTGTTTTCTACTAAATCGCCCTGACAAGACCTAGTTGCGACAACGAGGTCATTCTACTTCTTATATCAAATTGGCTACTTTGGATGGATAGAGCAACCTACTGTGATGATTACTCTGGGAATTTCAATTTTAAAACTACAAAGCCTTAGTCTAGGTCGTATGTAGTGAATGACTGATAGTTGGATTTTACGATGTCTGTAAAGTTACTTCAGTCACCTCACAAAAAAGATTTTTTTTCCTCGATGAACAACACTTTCCGCATCGCCTGAGTCTCATCGTTACCAACCGGAATTGAAACCCACAACCCTGGAATATAATACATTTCTAATGGGATAGAAGACAAGTAAAACTATAATTTTGAACTCAGAATCGATTACGTTGCTATATGCATAATTAGAACGTTTTAATAAGGAGTGTTTATAAGACCTAGACGAGGTCGAAACTACAGTCTAGCCCAAATAAAAATACCTTCTGGCGGACACTGATAAGTGAAATGTAATGGTATCATGAAGCCTAATCATATAATTGCGAAAAATTTAGCTATCAATTAATCATCACCTCATTCGCGCTAGGCTAACAACAGATCTTATATAAGGCCTATTACCTATAAAAACAGATAATATTGATAAGCAAACTTATCAATGAAGAAAATATATAAGCTATGCTGTGAAAAGTTGTTCTGCCATAAAAGTAACTATATATATATATATATATATATATAAGACTCCAATGAATTAAAACTTCAATTGTTAGAGAAGGCAATTAGGTTTTTTCAATGATGTGATCTCTAAGCGACAGTGATATATACAATTACCCCGGAATTTCGAAAACGAACAAGAAAGCTACTTTATAAAAATTCTTCTGGTCGAATGATTCCAGAGGACAGAATTTATCATACAAAAGTTATTCAAATAAATTATACGTCGCATGCTATGTAAAAATCACAAATTCATATTTGGACATAAGCTTGTTGTCGATTTGATAATTAAAATAAAAAAAATTTCTCTTCATCTCAGCTTCGTTGTCACATAGTGAGATACGTTCCATTACGTTATAGTTGTACATATATTTGATATGGGCCTAATAAACAAAAAAATGATCTTAAGGTCGTTAAAAATCGGACTATTAAGTGATCATAAATAGATAATTAAGTTAACTAGAGCAATTCAACGAATAAGACTTGATGTTGTATGATCCTAGCAATTACATAATTGAAATAAAATACTATGAATGCGATAAATAAATAAAAGATCTAAATAACATTAATAGAATAGAGACAAAACACAAGAGTTAATAGCAGACCAATGTACCCCTTATCACTACCAGTCTCTTCCAATTTATCAAGTCGGCTAAATATCACTTTGCATAAAAGTGTCTCTGAATCTGCAACAAATAAGCCGAGGCTCTCGGCGTCAGTGCCAGGACAGGATGCAGGTGCCTGTTGGTTAAACGAGGCCTCGGTTAAAAGAAGAGGCAAATGGACCGAAGAGGTGTAGTTGGCCCGATGAGAAGTAGCCGGATAGAGGGTAATTGGGTCGACCATGAGGACTAGCTTAGAAGCTAAGTTTAGATAACAGCCTAAAAAAGTAGCATGTGGAGACGAAAAATAAAAGGTAGACTGGTGGAAATTATATAGTCAAATAAAGAGAAAGATTTAACGATCTAAGAAAATAGAGATTAGAATGATACCGATAGATCTAGCTGCATGCAAGAATCAGCATATGGAGAAAAAAATAAGTTAGTGCATTAAGGCTATTCATGTTCTAATTTTGGAAAGTTGCCTAATTGCGGTCCAAATATTAGGATAGTTAGATGAAAAAAATTAGCTAAATAGAAGAC